GCGCAGAGGAGCGCGCCGCCGCCCGCAGCACGCGCGCGAGGTCGTTCGCGCCCCACTCCCCCGCCGGCCGCGCCGCCGCCGCCGCGCGGTATGCCGCCAGCCACGGGGCCGGCGGCGCCGCGCGCAGCGCGCCGAGCGACGCGCCGAGCGCCCCGAGCTGCGCGCAGCTGTACGCATGCAGCCGCGGCTGCGTCGCCGCCCAGAGGCCCTCCCACCAGTCCTCGGGCGGCGGGTAGCCGATCGCCGCGAGGGCGGCCAGCGCCTCAACGGTTGCCGCCGGCGCCGCGCCGTAGCGCCGCCGCGCGACCTCCGACAGCCACGCGCGCAGCCACGGCGCGTGCGGCCGGTACCCGATCCGCGCGACCGCCGCGAGGGAGCCCGTCAGCGCGCGCTGGCCGCACTGCTGCAGCCGCGCGGCGTGCGCCGACAGCAGCGCCTCCAGGACTGACGCAGGCGGGCGCAGGCGCAGCCAGGCGGCGGCCCACAGCAGATTGTACAGCTGTTGGTCGCTCAGCCGCGCCGCGCGCGCCCCCAGCTCAGTGCACAGCTCCTGCTGCCACCCAGGGTCCAGGTGTGGCAACCGCTGCCGCCCTCTCTGCTCCTGCTGCTGCTGCTGCTGCAGCTGCTGCTGCTGCTGCTGCTCGACAAGCACGCCAGCCGCCCAGACGCAGTTGCAGAGCTGCTGGTCAGTCATGAACGTCAATTTGCCGCGGGTGATGCCAAGCAGCACCTCTGCGCAATCCACCAAGACAGCTCCCCCGGCGTCGGCTGCGACGGCCCTGTCCAAAGCGCCGCCGGCGACAGCTGCCACTGGATCGACGTTGCTGCTGCTGCTACTGCTGCTGCTGCTGCTGCTGCTGCTGCTGTTGCTGCTGCTGTTGTCGCTTTCGGGGCTTGAAACCCCCGCCATGCTGCTGTTCACTTGTGGGTCGGTGCCGCTGCTTGTACTACTGCTGACGGTCGGGGAGCCCCAGGAGCTGCCATCTGCACCCGCATGGTCAAGGGGGGTGCTGCCGGCGCCGCTGGCGCCGCTGCCGCCGACGCGCCGCAGCCGCAACAATGTCGCCAATGACCACAAGCTCATGGACAGCGCCTGCTTGCCCAGCCTCTGCCGCCCCTGCTGCTGCTGTTGCTGTCTTCGATGCCGCTCCTGCTGCTCTTGTCGCCCCTCCTGCTGCTCTTGTCGCCCCTCCTGCTGCTGCCACTGCCCCTCATGCAGTCCGCCTTGCCCCAGCCAGCCAGGGTTGCGCTGCAAATGACTCCGATGCTGCTGCGTCGCGTCGCTGCCGGCCCCATTGCCGCCACTGGCGACGCACAACTCCTCGCCTCGCGCAGCGTGCAATTCGTCGCCTGCCAGCTCAGACAGCCTCTCCGTCGCCGCTCGCAAGAATGTCGAGGTCGGGAAATGGCCGGCCCTGGCGCAGCCCCAAAGCAGGTTGGCCACCGCTTGGTCGCTCGCGCGCGGCAGGCCGGCCGCAGCCGCCGCCAGCAGTCCATCGTACCAGCCCACCCTCCCGTCGGCGGGCGGCGCCGCGCCCAGCTTCGCCAGCGCCCACACCGCGTTGCTGGCGCCCTGCGGCGTCAGGCGCGGCGTTACGCCCGGCTGCCCCAGCCGCGCCACCACGGCCGCGACGAGCAGCCGCTCTTGGCTGCCAGACACAGGGCTGCCGCCGCCGCCGCCGCCGCCGCTGCTGCTGCTGCCAGCGCTGCCGCCGGCGGCAGTTTGCTGCGCGCCGCCCATCTCCAGCTCTGCCAGCGCCCAAAGGGTCACCGACAGCTGCTGCGCGTCGAACTCCCCCAGGCGGCCGCTTGCCAGCGCCGCCCAACGCGCGAGCCATGCGCGTGTCGCGCCGTGCGCCTGCTGCAGACTCGCGGTTGCCCAGAGGATGTTGGCGAGCCCCCGCGCGTCGCACTCTGGCAGCAGCGCGTCCGCGACGAGCGCGGCGCGCTGCACAAAGGCCGGCAGCTGCCCCGCCCCGAGCGCCGCCGCGCGCCGCGCGGGCGGCAGGCGCGCCACCAGCTGCGCGGCGTGCGTCAGCAGGGCGCTCGCGTGGAGCGCGTTGAGGCGGCGCGCTTGCTGCTGCTGGCGCTCGAGCAGGCTGTCCAGCTGCTCCCAGCTCCCGCAGCCCTTGATCGCGGCCGTCAGCGCTCGGTCGTCCAGTGGCCGCGGCCGCCGCCGATGGGCTGCCGCCGGCGCCGCCGCTCCATCAGCACCAAGGCCGCGCTGAGTGCTGGCGCCGTCATCGCCGGCACCGTCGGCATCCTGGTCTGAGGGCCCAAACCCGCCAGCGGCAACCGGACGGGGCGAAGGCCCCCGCCGTCCAGCGGCCTGCAAAACAGACAGGGATCGTAGCAGCAAGGGTCAGCTGTTGGTGGCTGTTCAAGTTTCATTGAATTTCACAATGTTCCTCAACCATTGAGCCTGCCAACGTGGAGCCCACTTGACATTCTGGGAGCGCAACCGCACCTGATGCGACGCCGCATGCTCTCGCAGCAACGCGCGCCCGGCCGGCGAGCATGCCGGCAATGCTTGACATCTGCAGGGCAAGGTTGAAGCATATCAATGTGAGACGGCAGGCTGAAATGTATGTTGAACGCAGGGCCAATGGTTGATGCAGCACCGAAAGTAATTGAAGCACCCATCGCTGCGCCAAGTGATCAGCGTTGATTGCTGGACGCACCTAGCCGATGAATCGCATCCTATCAGCACGCTGTTGCTTGCCCTAGCGCGTTGGAGGGGTGCAGAGTGCGGCCATCCCAGCCACATGCGCTCTGTTCCTTTTCACGCCTCCATGAGCAAGCCCAAATAATCCGTCTCAGTAGCAATTGAAATTATCAAGCCGTCCTGCTGCTGTCGCTGCTGCGCTTGGATGATCACACTGGGCGCGCGGTGCATGAACGTTTTTCGATGCTAAGAGCTTACACAAGTGAAATTGGCTCCATTCCCTGAGATTGTCGATGCAGCTGGACGCACAATCATGCCAAAGAGGGTGTGGCAGCTGCGCAACCTGCTCTCTCCGTGGCTGAGGCTCATGTTGTTGTGGTGCTGCCGGTGTCACCGGGACCACGCCAGGCCTTGGACGTCGCTGCGACCTCTGCCACTCTGCATCTTCTTCTCTGGTACACCGCACTCCACGTTTGTTGCTGGCATGGCTCTCTCTTCGCTCTCTACCAGCCAAGCCTTGGTCAACGTGGTCAGCTCCACAGCACCACCCATGGTCACGTATATCGGACTGCCAACATATCAGGCAAAAGTCCCACCAAAATTGGAAAGGGCATCGATATCGGTCTCAGCATTGCGTCTTTCATCGCAGCCGGCTGTCTGCTGTCTTGTCGCACGTGGTTGCAAGAGGGTAAGGGAGGAAAGGGTAAGCATGCGAGGACATCCTTGCACGTGATCCGCCGCTGCAACCACTGCATAATTTCAACTTGTCGTGTGGAGAGTGATTGGTTACACATGCACAATCACACGCCCCAGCACAAATCCACCAACATTCGACAGGCATGGGCCCTTGGGGAAGGCATGCTGGTACTGCACTGTGCACGGTGCCACCAGGGTTTCTCAAAGCCACAAGACACGCGGTTTCAAGGCAGCTGGAGCCGATGGGGCGGCATGGCGGTGCCAGCCCTGCCAAGAGTGCCCTCCAAGAGTGTGTACAGCAACGCCCGTCACTCAACAGGCGTAAGTGCACCATCGCACGCTGACTCGCAGGAACACATGCGCACGAAAGCACGCGTGCGTGAGCAAAGCATTGTTCAGTCGAGTAGTTGTTTGCAGCCTGAGCATGATCCCTGGCGCCGGCATTGCCGTAATGAGGGATCTGTTGCAAGGCACTCCCATCAGCAGGGTGACTTCGGCTCGTCCGTCCATGCACGCAGAACAGGGGTGCGTTTGTATCACCTGGTAGAATGGGCAACGCAGGCGCCGGGCAGCGCCAGGCTGTTGGAGCCGTCGCAGCTAGGCCCGGCGCCCTCTCTGACTGCCCGACGGCCTGCAGCTGATCAGGCGGTTGGCCGCGGGACCGTCGCACTCGCACGTTCGCACGCTCGCGACCTCTCCCCTTCCTTCCGGAAAACAGTCACCAAATCTAGCAAGAGCAGCCCCGGGCGAGGGCGCGTCCGACGTCTCAGCAGAATGCGGCTTGTTTGGAGAACAAGATTATTCCAAACCGTAATGTTGTATGGCGGAGCCCCCAACAAAGCGCACGCACAGATCGCCCGCCGGCCCGGCTGCGCAGCAGGCACGGCGGGTGACTCGGTAAGGACAGTATTGCCAGCGACTTCAGAGCAGGCGCGAGCTTGCAGGTGGCCACGGACACGAGTGCTGGGGTGGGGGGATGGGGCCGGCTGTGGGGCCGCCATCCCGACGGCAGCGGTCCCCGGGAGGAGACCGCCGCTGCCAAATGAGAGGGTTTCAAACGAAAGATTGGCAGGCCAACAGTATGCCCCCAAGGGTATGTGGAAAATGCCTTGGGCCGAGTGCACGGGGAGAGCGCGCGCCGGCCGGCGCGGCGGCGGAGGATTGGCTGGGTTCTGCGAAAGCTTGCGGCGGCGGGGCGCGGCGCTTCTCGGCGCGTGCGCACGCCCGCATCGTGCCGGCCCTGGCGATGCCAGTGGAACCAGGGACAGCGGGGCAGGCGGCGCCCAGATCGGCCGAGGAGGCAGGCGGCCGCACGGTTCAGGTCGGCGCGGCCCCTGCATCCAGGCCCTCTCGTGTACATCAAGTGGGCGGCTCACTCGTCATCCTCCCAGGACGCAAACAGCCCCGCCTGCTGCATGTGCAGCACGCGGCGCGCGACCTCGTCGAAGGAATGGACGTCCTGCCCCCACAGCCAGGCGGTCACGCCGGCATCCCTGTGCGCGCGTCAAGTGGGGGGGGGCAAGATTAGCTGCGCGTGTCGGGCAGGTGCTGCGACCACACATGTGTAAGAAAGCCAGAAGCCGTGCTTTCAAACTCGCCAAAGGCTGGGAGAGGGGGGGCGGCGGCGGCCGTCGCCCCGTTTCATGCGCACCCACGCCGCTGAATCGCGCGCGCCGCAACCAGCTGGCGCGGCCGCGCACAGGCCAAGCTTCAGAGAGCGGGCACGTTGCGCATTCAGCAACAAGCGCTCTTTCAACCCGACCGACCATGGTGGCGCACCTGCCACCCCAGACGTCGTTGCGGCGGTCGTCACCAACGTGAATGCACTCAGATGCCTTGACGCCCAGCTGCTGCACGGCCGCCTCGAATATGATGGGCGACGGCTTCTCGGCGCCCACCTCTGCGGGCGCACGGGTCAAGTCAGGTGGAGGGGCACCAGGGTGCGGGGCGGCGTGTTGAGGGGTCGTCGTGAGCCTGCGCCCGCCGCTTTCAACTGCTTGCTTGCTGCAGCCATGAGCAGGCGCTGCAGACGCGTTTGTACACGCGCCGCGGCGTCCGCAGGCCCGCGGCCCTCGTCGCCGAGCAACACGCCCGGCATGGCCTTGCCACGGGTCCCCCTGCTCCCCGCTGCCGCCGCAAGCCCCCTCTTGCCGCACCCCCTTGAACCCCCGCCTCCCCTGGGCCGCACCCGCGGACACGACGATCGCGTGGAAGAGGTGGTCGACCCGCAGCGCGCGCAGCACGGGCCGCAGCCGCGTGTCGAAGTTGCTGCACACCGCCAGCTTGACGCCCGACGCCCGCAGGCGCGAGAGCGCGGCGGCGGCGCCGGGCGCGAGCGTCCAGGCGCGGCCCTCGGAGTAGTATTGGTATATGTCCTCAAAGACGGCCTGGTTGGTGGAGCCGACGGACAGCGCCACGACGCGGCGCCAGAAGGGGCGGGCGTCGTCCACGTACCGCAGGCTGCTGCCGCCCCATGGCATGTTGTAGGCGCTGGGGGGGCGAGGAGGCGGGGAGGGGGGGCGATCCAGCGGATTCAGGGGTTTCAGAGAGCGGGGGAGGCAGGGAACAGGCCAGTCCGGGTTTGACAACTGCCAGTAGCGGCGCCCAGTGCTGGTGCGTGGATGTTAGCAGAGCGCGGCGGCGCGCGCGCATGTAACGGGCGTCTGCTGCAGGCGTTGGCGCCAAAAGGTGCCCAGCGGCTGCGGCTCGGGCGCGCGTGTGAACAGTGCGCGTGTGCGTGCGCCCGGCCGCGGGCGCCAGAGTCGCTTGCCCACCGGCGGAAGTTGTCCAGCACCTCGCGCTCGCTGAGCTGGATCTTGACCCCGTGCTTCGCGGCCGCCCTCAGGTAGACCTCAGTCACCGGTTCGCTGGGGATCAGCAGCGTGCCGGCCGCGTCGACCTGGGGGCGGCACGCCGTCAGGAGGGGGGGAACGGCATGGTGGTTGTGGGTAGTAGCAACCAGCGGCTGCACGGTCAGCGAGCAGGCAAGCGCCGGCGCGCGCACGGGGAAGGGGGGGGGGGCAGGAGGACGGACGGAATGCATAGCCCATAGCATGCGCGACGGGCGTACCAGCAGCGCCCTGATCCTCGGGGACGGAACGTCAAACATGAAGGGGCGCGAAAATGCGGATGCGGCGGTCGCTGTCGCGGCGTTGGAGATGGCTGTTTGCGCCGACGCCTGGCTCGCGCCACTACTGCTGCTCAAAGCTCTGAATTGGCTGCTGCAATGCTGCTCCCAGGGGCCCCCGCGGCCTGCAGCAACGAGGGCCGCGCTGCCAGGCTGGAGATTTGTCAACGACAGGGCCCGACCAAGGGCAAACACGTGTCTTGAAGACATCTTTACGTCCCCGCAGCGCCCACGCTCCTGACACGACGCAGGACGATGAGATTCGCGCCTGAGTGTGTTGGCGCCTAGGCCCCTCAATCGCTGCTTATAGGCTGCATTGTGACATTCGTTGTTGGGATGCGGTGGGGTGTTCCTATTCCTATGTACAAGACGCAGACCAGCTGCCGAGCCTGCGGTGTCACCCGCACCCGTTGCCAACGCTCGGTTCAACACACAAACACACAAAACCAATACGATATTTGCAGCGGGTGCGGTATACTCCTGTATATTGCATAGGACGGGTGCTATCTTCTTATACACCTGGTCTGAACCCGTCATTTCTGATCGCAAGCTGCTCGCCGCAAAGCGCGCGACTCTTCAAGCCAGGACCAATGATGCTACGGAGCTCAATGACGCATCGTGGGGTGGCTAGCAGCGGCACATCTGCTTCGGTGATGCGAACGCAGCGGGCGGTGCCGTGCGCTGCTGCTGGTGCGCTGTCTGCTGTGCCCCCTGCGGACCAACACCAGCCTGGCCTTCTGAACCTGGCTTGCATCGGCTTACAGACAGAGCACGTGCTGTTGAATTTCAACAAACAACGCGCCTGACCAATGTTTGCCTGAGCGGTCGGCGCCGCGCCTTGTGTGGACGGCATGTGGTGCAACGCGGCGCCACGTGGCCTACAGTCCGTGGCCTAAGCGGGGATCACAATCCTTTGCACCCGCAGGCAGCGGCTTTGGAAAGACCGCCAGCAAGAAGAAAGTGGACCTGTCCGGCGGCATAGCGATCCCGGCTCCCAAAGAGAAGAAGGAGAAGGCGGCCCCGCAGCAGCAGCAGCAGCCCCTCGACCCCAAGCAGGCGGCGGCGGCAGCAGCCGCAGGCGGCGGCAGCGACTGGGCGGTGGTCGGCAAGGTGGCAGAGCTGTTTACGCTGGAGAAGCCGAGCAAGGCGATCATCCTGCCCAGCGGCATCAAGCTCTGCGTGTACAAGTTTGGAAACAAGGCGAGCCCACCATCACACGCGCATGCGCTGCGATGCACGGCCCCCGGAGGGGGGACAGCAGCGGCGCGGCCACGGCTCGACCCGCTGCGTTGGCCGAGCCGTGCGCGCCCGCTGCCTGGGAGGGGCGCACCGCCGCCTGCATGCCCTCCATTTGTGCCAGCCGGCGCTGCGCGCCCCCGGCCCCTGACCCCGTCGCCCGCAGCCGCACCCCTCTCCCCTCCGACCCG